CACACACATACACACACATGCATGCATACATACATATATATATATATACACACATACACATATATACAACCATATGGTTGCGTATATATATATATATATATATACATATATATATATATATACACATGTACAAAAGTGGACATCCATGTATCTATCCAGCGCTTGTTTAGAGTAATTATGCTGATGTAGACCCCAAGCCGTCAAAGATCACCTAGCAATCCAAGCCCGAAATTCGGATGCCCCGTTAAGAAGGCTGCCCCCTGCACAAGCGGCGAGGCATTGTGGGGGCAGCATGACTTCGGGGTGGAAGACGGCGGGACCGTGGCGGGGAAAGGTTATGGTTCGAGGTGGATACACGAGTCGCGCTCACCTGTGGCGGGTGTCAAGCTCCAGAACCTATTGGAAAGGCTGCAGCCGAATTCAAATTTCTATCTGCATAACGACATACATGCATACATATGTATGTATGCATGCATGCATTTATGTATGCATCTATCTATCTGTATGTGTGTATGCGTATATGTATGTATGGACATATGTGTTCGCGTATTGTGTGTATATATATATATGTCTATATACATGTACTATGTAGATGTATGCGAGTGATCTCGGATTAGAATGTAGGAGGTTAGCACGTGATACGCGCAGTGTAACGTGGGCTTGGGAGGTCACGGCCAGGCCCGACGGCTGCCAGTGACGCGCTGTCGCAAAGCGGAGTCTCGGCTCCTGGGTGGCTTGGCTCCGTACTTTCTGTGGGAAGTTCTCTAAATTAGGGTCCAATTTTAGGTCCCCAATATAGTACGGCACCCTTATAAAAAGGGACCCTAAAAGGGACCCTAATTTAGAGAACTACCCCTGTGGTGTTGACTATGAACGGTCCGGGACATGAAGGGCACGGGGGGAGTCCATCACCGGGTCGGTGGTTTTTAAGTCTTTGTTGCTTGATCTTCACGTCTTTGTATGGACCATTCTGCACCACGATCTGTTTGCCGAAGGCTCCCCTTATCTGCATGTAGTCTTGGACAACTACTATTGCTAACTGGTACTATTGCTGATGTGATGAGACGAGATGATGTGAGTGCAAAATGGGCGCGAAAAACTGCAGCACACGGCCATGTCCGGACGATGTGCAATTGGGGTTTCGCTATTGCTGATGTGATGAAACGAAGTGATGTGAGTGCAAAATAGGCACGAATACTTGCGGCACGCGGCCATTTCATTCATTTCGCTACATTTGTTGAAACCCACATCCGGACCATGTGCAACTGGGGTTTCGCCATTGCCGGGGTTATGAAATGCGGGTGATGTGATTAAGCGCGGATCGGGGCGTGACACAGGGGATGTTGTGACTCAACGCGTCCTGATGGGACTTAACCCCACCGCTTGTGGGAACCCTTTGCCTGAGGAGAGCTCGCATTGGGACCCGAAGAGCTGCAGCTGATTGGCTTGGGCATACCGTCCCCCGAGTACTTGTCGATCGGCCTGCACACAGCGTCCTTTTGACAGCTTGATAAGGGAGGGAATCAAGGAACACTGTATCCGCTTTTCATGTGCACCGCCTGCATCCAGGATTCAACTTCCTGAAGGCACGGATCTTGGGCTCCGAGACTTTGGGGTTCTCGACTTGCTTCAGCTCCTGAGCCTGCCCAGCGGCGAGGGCTCTGCTTGGCAGGTCCCTAGGCAAAAACATTCGATTCGAGCTTTGTGGGGCCGCTTGCTTAAGAATCGGTTCGGTTCCCTTCGTGGCTGCTTTGCGGGCTTTGTGTCGCAGGCCAGGGGCAATCGATGGAGACAGAAGGTGGTGCAAGAATTGGCGTGGCAGAAGCACGACATCGATACCATGATGCTGCGAAAGGTTCCTCTCTTCCCACTAACGACAAGTGATGTCACGGGTGCCTGGGCTGGACCGGATTCAGCATCGCAGTGGGTGGCCTGCGAGGATGGCAACATCTTCTGGTCTTTGCCGAAGGGCGCACCAAACGGCATTCTCCGAGTGCTTGATTCAGTACAGGGTTGCCGTGAGGATAAGGATCTCCTGAACCTCCTTGGGTGTGGATTGGCCGCCCAACCGCGGGACGTTGCCTATGCCATCGTGCAGGAGAACTTGGGCTTATCGAGCATGGAGGAAGCCTGCGGCCCTGGCAGTTCTGTTTCCTTCGGAACCTTAGATACTCGTGTAGGGTTTCTCCTCAAGACATCCTCCTGGCAGGATCTGCGTTTCTCCTGGTCAAAGCTCGCATACTTGGGCAGGCACTGGGAAGAGATTCTGTCAAGCAGTGCGACCGAGAAGTGGCTGTCAGACCGAACTCCAAAGGAAATGGAGGCCCTGCTCCGATCAGTTCTGGTTCCATCTCGTGGTGGTGGGGGCAGGCTCCGCTGTGATGCCAGGGAGTTGCGGTGCCCATTCTTCCTTGGCTCCCGGCCACTCCGCAACTCTTGGGACTCGTCGGATGAGGCAAGGGATGTGGTCTTAGAGCCACCGCAGACAAATGGCGTGAAGGCCAGGCTTTGGTGGGAGCTTGTCTTCCTGCGCTTGGGTGCGTGCCCATGTGTGGCCGGTGTTCGGCTGCCGAAGGGTCTATTCGCGCTTCCTGGAATCACGGGAGAATTGCGAGCACTTCTGAACTTCTATGCCCATGCGAACATTGATCTGGAGGAGCTGCGCGGCCAATGCGAGATAGAAGACCGCTCTGGTCGCATCCGTGCGGTAGGCCGCGAGCCTGAGAAGCGGAACTATTCGGAACGTCTGCTGGGACCGAAATTCATCCACTTTGCTGGTCCCGAGTTTGTAGTGGACGTGGAGGAGTCAGCAGAGGATTCAGCGGAGCTCAAGCACTTGGCTGAGCAGCTGCTGGCAGTAATCCTTGATCCGACGTGTTTCGTGCTGCTTGCTTTGCTACACCGCACCGTGCAGCAGGAGTCTCGGCATCTGCTCGCAGTCTACAAATTCCTGGCGACTGCATGGGAAAACGGAGAGCTTCGGCGAGAGTGTGCGGAAATTGCATCTCTGCGCAAGGAGGGGTTCTGGATACTGACTGAAGATCGCGAGATCTGCCGCAAGCTGCCGGGAGAGGTCCGTCAAGAAGACGTCGAGCGGTTAAGTGCCGGAGAAGAAGAGCATGGAACGATCCTCGACTTTTTCGTGGAATGTCTTGGCGTTGCGGTCTCTGCTCAGCCCGACCCTGTTGTGCCTGAAGCTCTTGGCAGCCACGAACACCTTGTGAAGCATGGAAAACCGACCAACAACATGGAACTGGCAAAGAAGGGGCCAGCTCGGGATGATGCCCCGAAGCATTTGCAATCGCAGGGCGCCAGCTCGCAATCGGGCACGAAGATGCCTCCGCTTCCTGCTCTGCGCGAAGGCGCTGATGCAGAAGTTGAAGAGACGGCCGATGCAACTTCCATACCATTCCGACCTCTGCTGGCTGAGCTTCCACTGCTTAGCAAGCTCCTCGCAGACATCTTCAAGGAATGCAGGGGGGATGAGCGTCTCTTCGGCAGCCTGGCGCCTGCACGCAAGATGGTCCCAGTGTCGGAAATAAAGTTCACGCAGACCTCCATTGCTAGTAAATTCATCCACGGTCGGTTTAGAGGACGTAGTGTGGAGGCCGTGGCCAAAGACCTAAAGAAAGGCAAGCTGACACCGGCGGACCTGCCACTAGCCGTGGCACGGTTCCATTCTTCGTATTGGACCTTGAACAACCGGAGCTTATACGTGTTGAACACTGTCTCCCGGCAAAGAACACCAGTGAATGCCTCGGTGGCGGAATATGGGCTTTGTCCGGTCACCGCCAAGTTTCTTCAGCTTCGATATGGCTCACTGCTGAAGCAGGACGTACAGTCTATTTGCAGGTCCGAGGCTTCCGACTCGAAGGAGGAGCCCGAGGCTGCAGAGCCCGCGTATGATGCCGATCCGCCGATCTGGGATTCGGGGGACGAAGCACTCTTGGAGAAGGGCATGGTGTGGACATAGGCCGTTGAGGCGACGGCAAAGCAGGGTGCGAGAAGAACTTACGTGGCAGATCCTCGCAACTCCGAGCTTTGAAGCGGCTATCGGGGTGCTGAGTTTTGCATTTCGGGATTTCGGGGTGGTACAGGTCTTGTCCGCCTAACCGCCCGGCCATGCACTCAAGCATTTGTCTGACTGGGGCCCAGAGCTCAGCGCACACCCTCTTCCTTGCGATGGCCCCAAAGCGCAAGGCGGCGGCCAAGCTCGGGCCCGAGCAAGCCGGATAGGCGCTCCGCAGTCGGTCGGATGCCGTGATGTTGCGGAAAACGTGAGGCCTGCGGAAGAGCCGCTGGCAAAGCAGAATGCTGCTGTGCTGCGTTTGGCATGTGGGCGGGCAGAGGAATCGTTGGATGGGGTTTCGTTCTTTTAACGCAAGGCCACTATTCTGAAGAAGCTGGGCGTTTCGCAAAGAAGCTGCTCGGCAGCACGTGGGTGGAACCCAGCCGCCACAGCCAAACGTAGATTCTGTCGCAACGGATGGATGCAGTGAGGCATCATGAAGCCTATTGCCGCGACAATTATGCAAGAGTTGGAGGGTCTTTCCAAACCCGTGTGCCCAGGTTTCAACAAGGTAATGGAGGCTTTGACTCATCCCCTTGCAGAGATTCCGGAGGACCCGCCGGCATTGGGGGGGGCTGGTTCTGTTCGGACATTTCTGGAGCCAGTGTCAGGATTTCATCGAGAGCCCTGTTGTTCACGGCCAACCTTCAAGTAGGACACAGACCGTTGCTGGTGTTACATGTTTTGGGCCAGCAGTTTAAGAGTCGATGCTTGCCTCCTTGGGTTTAAGTCAGCTTGCGCTACTACATGTTGTATCATGTTTGTTTGCATGATGCCAGTGGTGATCATCATGCTTTTAATGCTGTCTACGGTTGTTGGCAACATTGTCTTCGTGATGTCTCACACTATGTATTGGCTCAAGTGATCCTGCCGCTGCCTGAGCCATCGCTTTGGGTCGACAGCTTTGGCTCGACTCATTCCGCCAGCAAAGATGCGGGCCTACAAATGTTCTTTTTCAAATGGGAAAGTGCGGTATCGTAACAGCATGAAAGACGAGGACAAAGCTGACATCTTCTGCCCAGATGGTGAGCACTTCTTCGGCAAGCCCGAAAAAGTAGGTGATGTGATGTGGCTGGTGCATGAGTCCAATGGATTGTATCTGCCAGCCCAGCACCCGCAATCCAAGCAATGGCTGTTCGAAGAGGTGATGTGGACCTGCGGGAAAGATGAGGTGACCTACCGCAATTCGCCTAACATGGACGATACCGTCACTGACAAGGTCGTGCCATATGCTTGCATCTCAGCAATGCCAGCAGCCTCACAGCCCGGCTGGCTGCAGGAGGCGTCAACCAAAATGTACGTGCCCATGAACAACCCTTCCACTGGCGAGCCCCTCTTCACCAAGGGCGCCACAGCCACAGTTGTTGCAAGTGCCCCGATTCCAATGCAAATGGGGAATGCAACCGGTCCTGGGCAGGCGCCCAAACCAGCCGGTGTGCCGCCCGAGGCTACGTTTGTCCATGAGAAGTACGTCGGACCCACCACCCTGGCAGCTGGATGTGCTGGCTGCCTTTGCTGTGGACTTCCGGGGTTGATCATCTGCCTGATTCAATTGGATGAGAGGGATGTGTGGAAAACTCCAGACGGCAAGCGTTGGGACCTGATGGGCAAGCGAATTGAGCAGTGAGCTTTCGGGAGGGTCCATGTACAGGAACCACATTCCTTTTTTCCTAAGTTCTATGATTGCTGAGTCGTCTCACGTACTACGACAAATCTTCATCCAGGATTTTTCCGGACACTGAAAAACATAGGCGTCATGTAGACACAATTTCCTATGCCAATGGTCCATTGGTTGCAGTGCGAAGAATCTTGGTACTGGGCCTCATTGGTGAGGCTTCCGGTCAAGCGGCCAGAGATCTGTTCATCCAATGTCTGTTCCGGCCCTGCCAAATGCGTAGCGGCCTTGTCCGTGACCAGTACTTCCGTGAAGGAGGCATACATAATTCCCGTGTGCAACGAACACTGGGTTGCCCATGTGCACAAGTGTTGGACGAAGCTGGGCAGTAAGGGCAGCAGCCGTGTCCCTTGTGAAAAAAACAAGTGTTGGACGAGCGTTGGTCAGGGATTCTGTGCACAACTGTTGCCATGCCAGCACTGCAGCTCCTGGTTCGGAGCATGCTTGCGCATTGACATATGTTTGGCATCATCTTGTCGCCGAATGCTTAGCAAAGGCGTGCCAGCACATGCTGTTGGCTGGCTTGGCGCACAGCCTCTGCGTGCCAGTGGATGAGCGCCACGCACTTGGCTCATCAGCATGAAGTCGTGTCGTCATCGTCCAGTCGTAGCAGTAGTAGTCGTAGAACAGGATTTGAGTCTGGGTTCAAAAAAGTCGTAGAACATCAGCAGCAGCATCGCTAGATGAGGTGTCAGGTTTTTGAGTTGACATTTTTGGTGGTGATGATGGTGAGGCTGCTGCTGACAGGTTTCGGCCAAAAGGTTAGTGTAACAGTGGCGGTAGTAGCTTGTCGGGAGCATTTACACAGGCCTTGAGCCATCCTTCGTTCTGAAGGCAGCTTTCGATCTGAACTCCTTCCCCTTGCGCTTATGCTGGCTTTCTTCAACTTTACGCTTCGGCCATTGCCGTTGAGTTATCAAGGCCTCCCCCCTCAACCTGAATCCCCTCCCACAAATTGTTACCAATCATGGCCGTGCAACTGCAGCTGGTCGACCGAACGGAGATGGCAGGCTGGGTATCGAGAGCAATGTCAGATGTCACCCCACCAAAGTAGCAGGCATGCTCGGTGCAACGGCGCAGCACTGTGTTGGAACGACAGGTGACATGTTGAGTTGTTTTTCTGCATGGCAGCAGGCATGTCGCCCCGCATAGCACTTCGAGTTGCAACAAGTCCTTTGATAAAGGACGCGTTGCAAGTCGTAGCACGGTATGCTCGAGGTATTGTTTGGTACCACATCCGGGTTGTCGAGAATGAGAAGCAGTGGCTCGTGAAGAAAACCTACGATGAGTTTGCACATCTGGATGCAATGCTTTCTACACCTACGTCACCCTTTGTGAGACCCGCTTTCCCTGAGAAAGGCAGGCTTCCCTTCCATAATTTTCTGGATGAGTGTTGTTGATATTCCATCAGCTGTTACTAGCTGTTGGCATGTTGCATGCCCCATCAGCAGGATTTTGTGTGATCGCGCTGCGCTCTTACTGTCGTTCATGCTATGAACATTATTTGCCCTGGTGCATTTTGGCATCATGATTACGGCCTGCGGTAGCATTCTGAAATTTATATCCCTCATTTTTGTTTTTCGAGGCTTCTTATATTAGACAGGCCTTCCTATAAGCTTGGCGGATAGCGAGGCCATGTACAAAATGCAGTTGGTTGTTCGAGGAACCGTGCGGAAGACATACCATTGGTACTATACTTGCTGCAGATGTCTTGTACATGCGCTTGCAGGTAGCGACTCGTATTGCATAGGCGGTGTTTTCTTGGTTCGTGCGACACAGATCGACATTAGTATGCCCATATGTCCAGGGTTCCCAAACAACTAAAACTCTTGTAGAGCCGCAACACTCCGATGAGTGTTGCTGTTGCTAGCAGCACAGGATGATTTTGTGTAGCGCCGCTTATGAATACTACGTAGTACCAATGTCATATGACATGGCACTATGCTCATGCCCCGGCGTATGTTGGTAGCATCGTCGTGTTGACCTACCAGCAGTGCCACTGCGTTGAGTGTGGATCGAGCCTTGTTGCGGGTGAGCTGGTTGCTAGCGTGGTGACGACGAGAATGACGCTTACGATGATGATGATGATGGTGATGATGATTGAGATGATCATGATGATGACGATGATGACTAGCTACTCTTGTCGCCACTCTGAGTTCTGTGAGTGCGACATGTACTGTCAAGAACGAGCATGATGTACTGGGCTTTCATGTTACTTATGCTGCGAGTAAAATGCAGTTAACATCGTGAGCACCAGATTGTTCGTCATCGCCGCCACAAAATTATTTGGTTGTGGTTGCTGGTATCATCGTGCTCGTGATTCCTCATTCCCAGCTTAGGCCTAGGCATGCTGTTGATATGCTTCTTCCAGCCAACTTCGCTTGCAATGTGGTTTCTTTAGTGTTGCACGCACGATGTCCACTGTACGTTATTTATGCGGGCCATGCACGGCGCATGACAGTCACCCATGACTGTGAGCCGAGATTTTCGTATTTCTACGAACAGCGGCACGAGTCGAGCTTGATATGTTGATTGTGTTGATACGATGCTAGTTCTCTTGTCAGGGTAGGTTTTGTTTTGACAGGTACCTTCGGTTTCCGAGCAATGTTCAACATCGGCGACTTCAACGAGAAGCGCCGAGTCGGCCTTGCCAACTACCTGGCACAGCTTGCACAGCAGCTGAAATCCCTTGTTGCAAGGTTGGCATTCATTTCTGAGCTCGGAGGCTTGTGCAGGCCCTGTAGGCTTGAGGGACACTTCCAAGGCTCAGCTGCCAGCGCTGCAGCGATGGTTGCAGCCGGCAGCAGCTCCGGCTTACGCACCGGCCTATGCCCAGCCAGCAGTGGCTGCTCCAGTGGCCAACCCCATAGTAGCACCAACTGCGATGCCGGCAGTTGCAGTAGCCTATCCCCAGGGACCAACAATGCCTGCTGCAGCAGTTGCAGTTGCGCAGGCCCCGATTGATCCGACGCAAGCAATGACGGACATTGCCCCCTCGGCTCCAGCTTTTTGCCCTGAATATTCGCAACCACTTGCGAATCCAGTTGTTCAGCAGGCAGTACAGCCTGTGTTGGCTGTGGCTGCGCAGCCACAGCAAGAGGCCACACAACCCCTCGGACAGGCCGGACAGGCTGTGCCAGCACAAGCGGTTGTCAATCAGGCACAGCCTGTGGTGGGGCAGATTCCTGTTGAGCCTCAAGCTTTGCCTGCAGTGGGGCAGCCTGTAGGCCAAGCGATGCCGGTGCAGCAAGCAGTGTCCGGAGAAGCAATTCCAGCGCAAGTGCAGCCTGTCATGGGGCAGGCGATGCCTGTGACTGGGCAGCCTGTACCAGTGCAGGCCATGATAGGCCAGGCACAGCCTCCAGCCGCGCAGGCTGTTGTAGCTCAGGCTTTGCCGGCAGTGGGCCAGCCCGTCGCAGGACAGGCAGCAGTGGGGCAGGCCGCACCAATACAGCAAGCCGTGCTAGGGCAAGCCGTGCCAGTACAAGCCATGCCGGTGCAAGCTCAGCCTGCGGTCGGGCAAGTGGCTGTGCCAGGGCAGGCTTTGCCCGTGCAAGCTCAGCCTGCAATGGGACAAGCGGCTATACCACAGCAGGCTTTGCCAGTTCAAGGACAGCCGGTGATGGGCCAAGCGGTGCCAGTGCAAGGCACACCCATGATGGGACAAGCCGTTCCGATGGGCCAAGCAGTTCCAGTACAAGCACAACCCTTCCCAGGAGCTCTGCCGGCACAGGGCATGCCTATGCCAATGGCTCAAGGATTCGCACAAGGAGTGCCGGTGCAGGGGCAAGCCTTCCCTGCGGGCCAATCGAAGTCCCGTGCTCAGTTTCCTCTTCCCGTGACAGTAGTCGCTCTCTGTGCTGCAGAACGGAATCTGCGGAGGACACATGCGCCCACGAATCTTCGCACATCTTCGCACTGAGAAACATGGAAGCCTTCTCACGCTGTCTTCAGGTCAGGCTTTGGTCTGGGCGATGGTGCGAAGCTAGCGGCGGGCGTTGCTGGCGCTGCGGGGCTGGCGGCTGGGCTGGGCGCCATGCTCGGGGTCCACCGCTGCCTGGCTTTCCTCTTCCTTATAGATGTTGTCTTTTTTGATGCTAATTACTTTGTGTTTCTTGCTTCTGTAGGGTGGGTTTCCGTTCGGCCAGCCCCTTGCACACATTGGCCCAGTGCTGCCAAAGACGTGCTTAAGACGTTGAGTGTACGTGCCTTCTAGTCGTCAAGGTCGTGAGGAGGACAAGTTTGCATAACTCAGCAGGCCTCAGAGGAGATACACGTTCTGGAAGGGCTTAGTTTTGCTTTCCCTTAGAGGCTTCAGGACCGTTTCAACCACTTCATGAACTGCAGGCACTGGCCACGATTATGATTCTGGACATCATGCTGGGTATGGTTCTGCTGGCTTCTCTGGCTTCTCCGGCCACCACCACGACCATCACCATCACCACCAAGAATGGGGATACAACCGCCACGAACACCATCACGAAGGGCGCTGCTTCAAATGTGAAGGTCTGGGGTGACTCCTCTGTGCAATTAGGATGGGGCAGCTGGCAGCTTGCGATCACTCGGTTTTTGCTGCGCACCTCAGAAACCATGAAGTTCATCTGCTAGGTTGGCTGGTTGGAACATGAACTGCAGCCCTGCAGGTCGAGGCTTCGTTCACGACTCGTCCATGAACCACGACAAATCCTGGGATGAGCTTCTTGGCAGCATGGCATGGAGTGTCCAAGAGTTTTTGCTTTCCGGTGACGGAGCCACCACTGCAACTACCGTGACGATTGCGGTGTACACTGCGCATCGTTCGTGGTTTTGCCGTTGTGCCTCAGGCGCTGCTTCTTTTGCACAGACTGCTCCGGCTGCAGTGGCAGAGGCTACATCTCTCAGGGCCACGGCGGCTTTGGAGGCTGCGTTGCGAGAAAATACCAGCCTGAGACATTCGAATTGGCCGGCATTGAGCCAGTGAGCTTATAAGATAAGGGTATGTAAGGGTACTGCAGCCCTTGGGGTGCCTTGCTTGGAGGCTTGGCAGGCAAGGAGCGCTGCTACAAGTGCCATGGCCGTGGCTTCTCCCACGACTCCTCCATGAGGCATGATAAGGAATCCTGTCTATCATAGAACGGACAGGGTGCGTTGTGGCTACGAGTTTGATGTCGACCTCTGGCCAAGGATGAAGACGAGAGGTGCTTCTTCTGCACAGACTGCACTGGCTGCAATGGGTCTGGCCACATCTCTGGCGGTGGGCTCGGCGGCTTGTTTGGACGCGGTGCCCAGCGATGCTATAAGTGTGATGGGCGGGGTTTTTCCCATAATTCCTCCATGAACCATGACAAGGACCAGTTTGCCACAACATGTCATTCCGTTTTTGTGGTCTCTGTGCGCTACTGTGTTCGCAGGGCAGGTCGCTTTACATTGAGTTTAAAGACCAGCCTGAAGATGTAGACAGGACAGCGATGAGAGGTGCTTCTTCTGCGAAGACTGCACCGGATGCAACGGGAGAGGTCATTTGTGAGATTTCAATCGCACCTGAGCTGAAACCTGATCAGAGGTCTTTGTTAATGCCACTTATGGGGATTCCTCCAGCATGCCGAACGGAGCCTTTTATGGGCGGCTTGCTATGTTCCCTAAACCTCGGGGGCTTTTTGTGCTGAACCTCCGCTCTTGCTGCTTGAGCTCGATGGTGGATCTGCCCGAACAGTCTCCACACAAGTAGGACATGCTTGCCCGTGGTGCGGCCCAAACAGGCTTGTGCTGTTAGAACTTGAAGGGAAGGTATCGGATCGTAAGCACCGTGCTGGATAAAGGCTTTTCCCTTTATGATATTGAGAGATCGCATGTGTGCGTAGAAGTCAGTTCCCAAGGGGGTTCTGATCAATCACCCTGCCTGGCCGCAGCTGCCAGCAAGCTAAACGGCATGTCCAACAAGCCCACGAAGCCCTGCTTGCGGTGGCTTACGTCAGTCGCGGCCAAGCTTATTTTGCACTGCGCCTGTCTTGAAGAGACCGGTCGCAGAACGAGACATGCAGACACTATCCGCGTGCTTGAAAAGCTGGAGCTCTTGCCAGTTTGGAGGTTGCCTTTCAGCTGACCTGTCCCCTATAGAGCTCCAGCTTCCGCTCAGACAGCCCCCAGGCCATGAAGTTCAGAACCAAGTTGTCACTATGATCGAGGAGGCGGGGACATGGAGTCTCGGCCTGCTGGTAGTGCTCTCGCATACATACACATGCATCGATGAGTCGCAAGATGCTAAAGATCACGTCGCTGATCGATCTTGGATGCGGGGGTGTGCTTCGCGATGCTTTGCAGGTTCGGGGCCTCCCTAGAGAGGAGAGCGTATCAGGGGCAGTCGGATTTCTGCGGTTCCGGAGGTGTTCTTCCGGCTCACGACTCTGCTCCATGCGTTTCTCGTCAGATGTATCTGAAATTTTGTCTCTCTCTGTGCTTGGCTCGAGACAGTGTGCTCAGAGGGTAGTCTGGCTTCACACGCGATGGCGTACTACACTGCCGCCGCTGACATGGTGACTGGGTTGATCTAGCCGATCCAGCCGCTCTTGTAAAGTAGCCTACTGGACAGGGGTTCGTTTGCTGTAGTATCGATACTGGACAGGGGTTCGTTTTCTGTAGTATCGAGGAGGGCGTGGTTGATGAGGACGTTCAGGAAGAAAGTGGCAGCCACGAGGAGCCGATTCTGTACAGTGTTGGGTTGTCCGTCGCTTGCCCCTCCTGCGCCACAGGAGGCTGTAGCCGATGAGTACGGCGGTGACCAGGACCAACTCTTGGCCGGTCTGGACCATTGTCAGCTTCGCAATGGCGTGCACGAGAGGAGGAGATTCCGACCGACGAGCTCTGCAACAATGGCGAGGTCTGTACGCTGTTCCTGCTGCAAGAGTTGCTGTAATTTTGTGGCCATGCAGGATGATGATCACGTCGAAGAGGGAGAAGAGGAAGAAGTTGAAGAAGCTGAGCTGGAGCCTGCTGCTGCCGAGGCTGAACAGATGTCCCAGTGACGGAATACGAGAGGTGCTGGGTTCAGCCTGCCCGGTCTAGGGCCTAATAGCCTGGGGTATCAATGTTCGAAGAATCGAGGGAGGGCTCAGGGGTAACTTCATGGCTGCTGGAGGAGTTCCTGGAAAACATCAACGATGCACAGGCCTAGGTTTCTGCGTCATAGCGGCAACGCGCAGAAGTGTCTTCCGTCGTATGAAGCAACGTCCTTGTGATGTGCTGCATGGTTTTCCGTCGCAGGCAGAGGAGTTGGAGGGCGAGGGGCATGGGGAGGCTTGGGCATCTGTCATCTTACCGTTCTGGATGCAGCGGCATAGTACTTATTTCACTCTCTGCTTCCCATCCACGATCCTTTGTAGTGGGCCGCAGGTCCTGGATGCAGAGGAAGCACCTGCCCCTGAAGAGCTTTCGGCGCAGGTCATCGCACACTCCGAATCGTAAAAAGGGTCACAGCCCCTGTATTTGCAGGCAGACGTGACTCAGCTCCAGCAGGAAGAGGAAGCTGCAAATCCGGATGTGGAGGCCGTGGACCGCCCTAAATCAACTTCGTCCGTCTAACAGCTGTCGTTTGGATGACCAGCCAATCTCATACCGCGAAGCGAAGAGTAGGCAAAACTGAGGCGTCCGCTTCAAAGACCCGAGCAGAGCACAACATGTTGAACTTGATCGTTGCAACAATGCTGGCTCCGGATGAGGAAGCCAGCAGAGGACATGACCCTACCTGCAAACAAGGCGAGCAATCGGTGCATCGCAGCCAGACAAGCCTGTGGAAAGCATCATGGGGAGTCGTTTCAGACCAGGTTCCTTCAGGACTTTGATGCGCGTGTGCTGCTCTGTGGTCGATTCATTGAATTATCGCAACCACCAGGCCATTGAGCCTGTGGAAGATTCTGCCGAGGAGGTGAATCCTGAGGAGGTGGATGCCCAGGGGTTGTTGCAGTTTTGCAGAGTGTGCGAACTCTGCTTCTTGCATCATAGCTGTTCGAGTGTCCGGGGTCTTTTGCCGGCCGGGAGCAGGTAGCCTCAGAAGAGCAGGACGCAGAGGCGGTCTCCGCAAATCTGGACGAGGGAGGATTAAGAGTTTCTACACAGATGCACGGAAAGCTTGAACTCTGTACCAACACTATGCTGCCTTTCCCTAGCAAATGCTGTTGCATGACGACGGATGCAGCAACTCCTCAAAAGGAGAGCAGCAGTCCAGGTCATACTTTGAAAATCTGCACGACATGCCATCTCGATTCGCAGGCCGCTCCCCAGCAGGTGCAGGAGGACACAGCCGAGGACTGCCAGAGTGTTGCACATGAGAGGGACCTTGCCACCTCGTGGCTGGGAGGGTATGTTGGCTTCCAGGATGTGGAGGGCGCAGAGAAGGAGATGGAAGTGGCGGAGGCAGGGCAATGTGAAAGGTGCTTGCAGTTAGTGGCGTGCGGAAGTGCCGGCAAGCAGCACTGCAGGAGGCTGCACCCGAAGAGGCTGAAGATTCAGTGGAGGAGGAAGCGGTCGAGGAGGCCTTGGGTGGGATTCGCTTAGGCAATTTTTGTGCAGGACTCAGGTGGCAT